CTGCTTCAGATTCTGTCTCCCTCTCTCTCTCAAAAAATAAACAAACATTTAAAAAATAAAAGAAACAAAAAAACACCCTTTTTTTGAGGGCACAAGCCCTCTTGCCCCAAGAGCAGAACCAGCAGCCTGGCTCCTGAGCCCAGATGGGCGGTGGGAGGGGGCTGCTGGTCCTGCGGGCCTCCCAGCGACCTCTGATTTGATCTCCTGAGTCCCCAACCAACCAAGCCTGGGTTCACACCCGGGGTAATTTTCAAAGCGTTAGGCTTTGAAAAGACCTCGTCCCTCTGCAGGGGGTCTAAATCCTGGCTTCCGGGAAATCCCTGAGGAACAAGTTTATGGAAATCTAGGGGTCCTTTCTCAGCAGCTGGGATCAAGAGTACCCTTCTGAGACGGGGGACAGAGGCCACTTTTTTTGTCCTAATTTTGTACTGCAGTGTCTACGCGTAAATATTTCTGTGAACAAGCAGGCTCTAAAATCACATCATTTGGTGCTAACAAATAAAACAATGCCTCTATTTGGAGCTATAGTCCTCCTCCCCCCCACCCCTACCCCCCCGGGGGGAGAAAAAAGCTATTTGAAAGTCAAAACGTTTTGGTTGGTTTGCTTTAGGACAAAACATTTATCGGTTGCACAAGATACATGTTATGCAGCAAATATTTGAGAGCCTACTCTGTGTGAGGCAGGGGCTGGTTCTCCATCTAAGTGCTTTCTTTCTGGAAAGTTCTCTGATCCTACCAGATTGCCCTGGGCTATATCTTTAAGAGAAGTTTTGTACACGGACCACAGTTGTGGATACACAGGGTACATTATGTTATACGCGTGTTCTATTTATCAGTTCCCTGTATCTACCATAATGCCAGTTCCATAACTAGGGTAATGGGGAGCCATGGAGGAATGTAAGAGCAGAACAGGAACAACATTTTAAATTAGGAACAATCCAGTTCTCAGTTTGAAGCTCTCTAGTAAACTTTCCAACAAAATATCGAATTCGTATCTCATTTCTCAAACTACCTGGCCCCTGGCAAGGAAGGAGGGGTTCAGAGTCACTTAGAAGTTTACTCAGCTCGGAGTTCCCCATCCAGTGAGCCTGACTGGGAGGCTCAGGGGCCAAGTAACAAGCAGGAAAACTAAGGGTCTTTGCTCTGTAACTCCAAGAAAGCTAAACGCCCCGTGCCTCACTTTCTCCACCTGAATGTGGAGCCGGGATGCCCCCAAGGACACTGGTTCCAGAAGGCAGGGATTTTTGGCCAGGGACAGCTCGTGGCACAGAGTAGCTGCTCAGTAAACACATGACACGTACACGGAGCACGTGAACCCTCACAGCGACGCGACTCGCTTTACGGAGGGGGAAACTGAGGTTCAGAGAGGGGAACCAATTTGCCTGCGGTCACGGAGCGGGGAGAGGCAAGCTGGGCCCACCCGACCCACACGAAGCCCAGGGTGACTTTGTCAACAGAGGCCACGAAGAGGCAGAGCCACCTTGTGACTTTTGCCGGCCTTAGGCTCTTCATGCGCCTTTTCCTCCAAAACAAAGCAAAACCAAAAACATCCCCAAACGTTCCCAACGGCATTGATCTAACCGGGCACACAGCCCCCCCGCTGGACAATAATCTCTTCCTCTGCTGTTTTAAAAGATACGGAGCCCGGTCCACGGGCCCTAAGCCTCTCGGGCCTGGAGCCTGGGGGGCCGGGGGCGGGGAGCACTCACCTTGTCCTCCTCGGCCCTCACGTCGGGCATGGTGCTGACGCACAGGCTGACCGCCGTGGTGGCCACAAAGAGGATGGACAGACAGGCGAAGACCTTGCCGGGGAGCCCCGAGCGCGGGTTTTCCACCGTCTCCCGCAGCCAGTTCATGAAGACCCCCCAGCGCGACGGGTCCCCGGGGGGGCGCCGCGCCTCGCGCCGCAGGTGCAGCGCCTCCTGCTGGCGGAGCTCGCGCAGCTGCTCCAGCTTCCGGAGCAGCTCCAGCAGGCAGCACGGCCGCAGGTGGGCCTCCTCGATCCCCCAGTAGGCCAGCTCCTCCCGGAAGGACAGCACGCACGTCTCCCGCAGCAGGGCCAGCCTGCCGGCCGCCAGGAAGCTCACGATCATGCCGAAAGCGCTGGGGCTGCGGTCGAAGAAGAACTCCCGGGTGGCTTCGTCGTAGTCGTCGCAGAGCTGCGCGATCTCCTCGTGGCTCCGGCAGAACTTGAGTTTGCTCAGGCGGCTCAGCGGAAACTCGTCCAGCGTGCTCCAGGGGAGCACGTACCGCCGGCCCCCGACGTTGACCAGGATCTCCTTCTCCAGGTCCGCCGCGGGGGAGGCGTCCAGCGCGCCCACCTTGCGGGCCCTGCGGTAGTAAAGCCCCTTAAGGGAGCGCGGCTGCATGGAGCCGGGCAGCGGCTGACCCAGGGGGCTGCAGGAGCCCCGGTGGCGGTGTCCAGGAGGTAGGCCCCTGGCCCTGAAGGGCATGGACATTGCTGGAGACGTCCTGCGCCGGGTGGGGAGGGAAGGGGGAAGGTAAGACAAGAGGGAGAAATCAACCTCAGGGCGGGGTCCTCGACCGCCCGGATGCAGCTTCACCACTGCATCTGCATGGTTCATTTTTCAAATCCTCCAACAGAGACTTACTGAGCATCTACTCTGTGCCTGGGACCCATCAGTGACCCAAGGAGATGATGACATCCCTTCCCAGGTCAGAGCTGTGCCCCTTCCAGGCTCTGTGGTCTTGGGCACGTGGCTTCACCTCTTCCATCTCACTCCACCCATGCCAGGCACAAGACTTGTCCCAATCTTGGGAGGTACAGCTGGTAAAATAGAGCTGAAGAGTGTAAGGGTGTCTCAAGTTCACTGCCAGGTTCTGGTCCCTTACGGACTGCCACAGCAGGTGGATTGCTCAGCCTCTCTGAGCCCTTTGCTTCGTCTGGACAGCTGGGGTAGTTTGAGTACCCCCACCTCACTGGGCACGGGGAGGGTTCCGTGCAGTGATGTCCAGGAAGTGTTTATTCAGAACGCTTCTAGGCGCTTCTGAGGTGCCAGGCACCAATTGACACGCTTCCTCTATAGTAACGCATCTCAACAATTCCACAAGGTAAACAATTCCCCATTTTACAGATGAGCAAACGGAGGCCCAGAAAGGTTCAGTAACACAGAATGTGACTGTGCTTAAGCCCAGCGTCTGACTCTCAGGAGCCGCGCCGCAATGGCCTCGTTTGCCTCTTCCTTTGGAGGACTTTTGCCATCAACGACAGCCCCCCTCCATGTTCCCCGGGTGCTTGCCTCGGCCACCCTTGCTGTGTGACCTTGAGCCACCCTTGCTATGTGACCTTGAGCCATTACTCCCCCTCTCTGTTCTCTGCAAAGCGAAGGGACGTCTAATGCGCGCTCCATCTCAGACCTATTCGAAGCGCTTGGCTTAGAATGAGGGCTTGAGATGTAACCCGTGCATTTAAAAAACCATCTCTGCCACCTCTCCCGGCCTCAGCGCCCTGCCACCGTTCCCCACGCTCCCGCTTCTAGCCAGAGCTGTTTCCAAAGCTTCTACAACCTTACATTCCAAAACGCACTCCAATCGAGACAAAAACTCGCTGGCTGAATGGAAACAAAAGTTGCTCTCAATTTCAGCGCCAGCTGGATTCGGGCAGGCAGCGAAGAGTTGAATCACAGCCTGTGCGTTTCACACTTGCTCACCACCCAGCGTTCTGTTACTCTGTATGCATTACTTCCTTTACGGCGTATGGCCAGAGGAAGGCGAGCAGCCTGCAGAGAGAACTATTTTGAAATCCGGGGAGTCCTTCCCAAGTGCTCTCCGTTTCCCAATGCAAAACCCCAGACCCAGAGAGCCGAAGTGACTCATCCAAGGTCACAGAGCGAATCCAAGTCCAACCCAGGATTCTTGTCTCCCAGCCTGGGGGGGGGGGG